TAAATTTATGAATTTCCAATTAAATACAAGTAGATAAAATGTACAGGCTATTGACTACCTATTACCATTTAACAATGATTATAAATACTAGTATTTATAATCAATACTATTATCTATTGATTATAAATCTTCCTATAATATTATTTACTAACTGAATTTTATATATGTTTTTGCTATTCAGCAAATGCGAAATTGTATAGGTACCTATTATTTTATTATAGAATATAAATTGTGGTAGATTTGTATTCATTAATTACTTAATATTTTATTTAGGTAGTTATGTGTTGACAATTAAAAAATATATTAAGTTATTTTGAAAAATTATATAAATAAGATGAATAAATATTTTTGTAATTTTTATTTATAATTTCCAGGTGGAGTAAGATATTTTCTTATTTTCAACAACATACTTGTAAAAACTATGTCATTTGTTTTTTAATATGGCTATGGTAACATTCATAAGTCATGAAATTTTTGTGTACCTATGTGTAATATTATAAAAAGTAATTAACAATGGATAATAGAAGATCTTGGAAGGGACAACTGTCACTGAAGGAGTCTGAACATCGCCGATATTCAGATTCAGAAGAACACAAGAGTAAAAAATCAGTGTCAAATAATTCAGGTAAGAATTATAATTTTATTAAATTAATTTTGTAATTTTAAATTAAGAACATTTTATCAGAATTGTATATCTATATTAAATCTTTTTTTTTATAAATTTAATTTTTACTTTCAAAATTAAATATTTGTATTGAACCCTAAAAGAGTATTACTTAGACATTTAGTTTACCTTTTAATGAAGTAAAACGGTTGAAAATATTATTTTTCTTTTAAAATATAATTACAATTTTTCCATACTGTCAGGAAGTAAAAAAAAAACAAACCATGTATCATTATATCAATTGATTGCCTATATAGTTTAAGTGTATTTTATAAAATTATTGAAATATTTAAACTTAGTATGTCTTGATCAAAATAAATTAGGTATGACACAATTTTAATTATTCAGTAACAAAATATTCTAAAATAATTTGAATATAATAATAAGTACAATCATAATAAACAGTGTTGGTTATGTTATGTTATAAGTTACAAAATAAAATAACTAACTAGATTACTTGTTAGTTACTCAAGTACAAAAGTAGTGCCCAATGTTACAATGTTGCAATTTTTATTGTACAAATATCTACAGCTACACTAAAGTGCTTTTCAATAGAAGTACTTGAAGGGAGTAACATATTAAACTTCATAACAATTCGTTTAATCATAAGTAAACTGCTTAAAATTTTTAAATTGACTTTATAAACTGTATTATAACATCACCATTGGGTTGATCAGAAACTTATTCTTCATTAAAGATAAAACTCGAGATAAAATCATAGGCTATAATCAATGTTTATAATTATAGTCAGTTAAATTGAAAATAATATTAACCCAAAATCGTTTATTTATATAATTATATTAGATTATACTGGAAAAATGTTATAATTACATAAATTATTAATATAATTAAATGTTCTGATGTAGATTTGAGTGGAAAGACTGCCGCGAAGTAGCATCACAATATATCCCCCCCCCCCGAAAAAAAATTTAATTTATAAAATAACACATTCTTCTACTAAGTTACTGCTAAATAATTAACATAGTTACTCTTGCGTTACCCAAAAATTATAATAACAAAGTTACTATGTTACCATGTTACTGAAAAGTGTAACTATGATACAGTTATGACTTTATGAGTAATATACATTGCGTTATTACCCAACACTGATAATAAATTATAATATGTTAAAAGCATAAAAATCTAAAATAAATAATACATACAATTATTTTTTAAACAAGTAGGCATAAGCTAAAGTAATTAAAAACCATTTTAGAAACTTTACCAATCATATTATTAATTTATTTTATTT